CCTTAGGGTGCTGATGAAGCTCAGAAAAACTACCTGGGCCACGAGTGATGGAGAAGGAAAAGCAGATACAACCTGAGTGCCTAACAGAGGAAACCAGCCTGGTCCAGGGGTGGGTCAGAGAAGGTTCCCAGGAGGGGAGGCTGTAGCCGAGGCCTGAAAGACGGCAAAAGGGACAGCCCACTGGTACACCAGCATAAAAGTCCTCACAAATGAATGTTTACTGACATGGGGAAATGCTTATATACAACATCAAGTAAATAAAATGGGATATGAAACCATAGATGCTCTCAACTATGTAAAAATAATGCATCTATAGACAGATGATAGATAGATAGATGGATAGATGGATAGATAGATAGATGACTGATAGATAGATAGATAGACAGATACGCATGGAAACATTTTCTGGACACCAAAATGTTAACAGTAGTCATCTGTAGGTGGTAGAATTACTGGTAATTATATCATCTTTATTCTTTCCTAGTTTTCTCAAATTTTTAACAATAAACATGGATTGCTTTTATGCTCAGAAAAAATACCAAGTGTCAGGGTGTGACTTAGGGCCCCACCCACCACCCCGGGCAGAGGATTCTCCTCCTGCCCCCAGCAGCCACACTCACACGTGGGCAGACGGCTCCCTGGGAGTCATCCCAGGGCCGGCGGGGGACACTTTCCTGAAACTCATCCAGATGGCTCTCAACTAGAGTCCCGTCCCCTTGCTCAGCGCGTCTTCAGGACGAGCCACCTGGAGGCTGTCCCTGATTCCAACAAAGACCCAGCCTTGTCAATCACAAAGCAACGGTCCCCTCCAGGCCCACCACTAACTGGCTGACTTAACCTGGGAGGCCTCATTTCTCTGCTCTGTTCCCTGAGGAGGGTGAGTGCTAACAGCTCCTCCTGCCCTAACCTTGTATGTTGGGGGTCAGGGGGTCAGAGGCCGGGGTCAAGAGTCAGGATGGGGAGGAGGAAAGAGCTCCCAGCTGAGTGACCTTGAGCCCCTCTCCCCTTGCTTCTGTTTCCTCTTCTGCGAGCCCTCAGGGCTTGCTCCTCTGCCCTTCGTCTCAGACACTCAGGCTGAGACTCACCAGTCCTTAGAGGAGCTGGAGGCGGCCCAGTTCTCCGGAAAGCAAAGGCAGGTCTGGAGCACAATCGTTCTGGGACCCTGAGGTCACAAACGGCGGTGGCCATGAGCACAGGAGGCACTTGGCTGCCAGAAAAAGCCCAGGCCGGCCAGGCTAGGGGGGCAAAGCCACACGGACCCTCATCTACCAGATTTCCCTCCGGGCCGGCGCCATGCTCCCGGTCAGCAGCCCAGCAGGCAGGCCTCCAGCTGTGGACAGAGGCAGGGCTGCCAGGGGCTCCCAGCCCACTGGAGCGAAGGGGAGGAGGCAGGGGAGGCGCGCGTGGGCTGAGCAGAGCACAGAGGCCATCGGCAAAGACAAGAGGAGAATGAAGCTCCCCCACGAGTCCCACAGCTTCTTGGGGCTGACTCAGGACACTCAGGGGCTGCCTGCTTAGAGGCACCCGTTAGACAGGCCGGGACTCAAGTCCTGTCTCTGCTCCTGACAAGATGCTTGAGCAAATTACTGAACGTCCCCAAGCCTCAGACCTCAATCTGTCCATAGAAGTATCTACAGAAAGAAGACAACAGCAACCTCCACTAGTGAGAGGCTGGGAGCATCAACGAGATAAAGCATTAAAGAAAAAACACAGCATAAAGAAAACATAATCACTAGGAGCAACACAACCCTACCTGCCCCAGATCTCAACATGGTATTGGCACGAGTCACAGTAAGGACGGACCATGGAGAGACACAAAAGGAGCCCAGAGACCTCGAATCCAGACCCTTCATTTAACAGATGAGGGGAGAAAGGCTCAGAGAGGCTGAGTAACTTTTGCAAGGTTGCAAAACAGACCAAGGTTCAAACTCCCACCTTTCTGACTCCTATATACCCGCCACCCTCCACCCACCACACCCCATCTCACCACAGACGGCTGTGCTTGGGTCTCCTCCCACAGAGAGGGCATTGGTCAGGGAGTCCCTGCAGGCACTCCCCCTCATAACCAGCCCCTGGAGCAGGCACAGAGCACCACCAAGAAACCAGGGTGAGGGGGTGATGGGGTGAACGCTGGAGATGCCCCAGAAGCGGGAGCTGAGGGACGAGGGTATCAATTACGAGGCATGTGGGGGCCCTATGCAAACTTGTGCAAAACACACGTAAATGACCTCAGGCCATTGGTGAATCAACAATTTGAGCTGTGTTTTGGCAACTGGATCACACTACATGACATGAACCTTTTCTCTCTCTTGGCTTTCTGCCAGGTGAAGGGAACTGAAATCTTCAGTCCACTGACCAAACCATGCTGACGGAGCTGACTCCTGTCACCAGGATGCCCCACAGCTGCCTCAACAGCAAGGTACTGTGTCGGTACTACGCCCTGGTGCCCGGGGCCGCGTCCCCCTCTGACTGCTCATCCTCTGATGGGGGACCTCTAGCTGAGAGGGCTTCCCCCAGACCCAGCAGCCCACTGCCTCCAGCTGCCGGGAGCGGAGCAGCACGTGCCCTCCCTCCTGCAGGGGCACCTGGGCTGTGACAGGCAAGGGGCTGGAGTGGCCCATCCCCTCAGCCCAGCCTCCAGAATGCCAGCAGCCTTTCTCTAACCCGGGAGAAAGGCTCCTCTCTGTGGGAGGAGGGCCCTGGGGTGCACTGACACCTGGAAGGCCTGCCTGGGGCTCAGCTGCGTGAGCCCCGGAAACTCATCCAGTTCACCACATTTCCTGAATGTCTGCTGTGTGCCAGACCCCATGAGGGGCTTTCTGGAAAATCTGCAGAAACAGACAAGATGTAGCCACTGCCCAGGTCACCGCCCTGAGGCACTGACAGTCCACCAAGGGGGAAGAGCAGGCACAGATGGAACTTCATGGCACTTCGACACCTCCCTGGAAAGGTGGGGTACACGAGTGCATGTGTCTGTGCATGTGTGCGCATGTGTGCATAGGTGTGTGTGTTGGGGGGGCGGGGCAGGGCTGGCCCATCAGGCCCACTGTGAGCCCACTGTTAACAGTGACGAACCTACCACGTGCGGTTTGCACGTAACATGTCAGACAGCACTCAGTACTTTCCACGTAGGAGTTTATCATACTCTTCCAATCATCCTAGGAAGAAGGCACTATTATTAATGTCCCCGTTTACAGATGAGGAAATTGAAGCTGAAAGAGGTTAATAAGTTACTTTCCCAAGGTCACAGCAAGGACGTGACCCCAAGCCTGGATTCATAGCCTCTATGTACACCCCAGCCTTGGTCCTGGGAAGACGCTCCTCAAGAGCCCCAGCTCCTCGAGGCTGGAGCAAGAAGCAACAGGAGCTGCCTCCCGGAGCAATGGGCCAGTGGTTCCTGCACGCACGGCCCCCGTCCCAACAGGGCAAGTAGGGCACTTCTGCAGCTACAACCTCTGTCACGTGCGGCCTGGGCCATGGCTCACCTTGGCGTCCACTCAGCAGATGGAATTTCTTGAGCAGCCTTCACCTATCTGCCTATCTGGTGAGTTTCCTAATGTGGCAACACTCTGTGCTGTGGCCGGGCTCAGAGGCCCAGCCCACGCTAATGGGTTGAGACCAGCTGCATCTGCACAGCCCAGCCACGACCTGGGACTAATGGCAGCAGGAAGGCCCCTCCGCGGCTGAGCTCACCGGGCTTCTGGTTGCCTTCCCTGCCTCCTTCTCCCCTGAGCAGCTGTCTTCAGCCCACCTCCCCTGGAAACGAGGGTGTACGGGAGGTGGACAGCAGGGAGCCTGGCCTCAAGGTGCCAGGCCGTGGGGGAAGCAGGAGGTAGGGTAGGCAGTGGGGTCAAGGTCTGCTCCCATCAGCTTCAGGAGACCTTCTGGGTCTTAATTTCCCCTGTACCAGCTCCCACTCCACCTCCCTTACAGGATCATGGTGAAAAAAGGAAAAAATGTTGCATGAAAAAAGCTTTGAAAAGTTAAACGTGCACAAATGTAATGCAAATGGGAGAAACATGGGTGCCTAGGCCTGCCTGGGCGAGAGGCCAACTGAGGCCAGAGGCCCCACGTCCCGGGTGTGGAAGCTACTCCCCGGACGGCAGGTGCCAGAGATGGCCAGAGCCCCCGGGAGGAAGCGGATCCACTGGTGACCAGATTTAAACGGGGTCAAGCACGCCTCACAGAAGCGTCCCAGCAGGGCTGGCCCTGGCCCTGCGCCCAGGCGTTCGCTGGCACTTGGTGGCCCCAGCACTGCCTGGTGATGAGATTATGGCCTGGCAGGCCTGGGCAAGGAGCCCCAACACGGAGTAGACACCCGCATGAGGACTGCCACCGTCAGGCCACCACCATGTGCTGCCTGACACACGTGGGTTTGCACAGAATAGGCACGCCAAGAGCAGGTGCCCCTTCCTCCCTCCTCCTGCCTGCCGCAGAGATCCCATAAGCAGGAGCTGGGTTTGCCAGGATGGCCCCGGAGGGTGGAGCCGGCTGGCACAGAGTTATCCAGAAAACAAGACTAAAGGGTGTCTTCAGGAAGCCCAGCCAGGCCTGGCTGGAAACAGCACTCCCGCCCCCACCATGCCACCCTCGGCACAGCCTCACTGCACCCTGCAGTCTGGTCTGCCCTTCCACGTCCGTGGGCCGGGGGAGCACAGCTCCTTACCACCCAGGGCTCACAGTGACTGTCTTGGCAGGCCCACCCCAGGCCGGACAGGCAGCCTCAGTTTCCCTGGCCGTGTCGGGAGAACAGCAGCAGCTTCGGTCCCGGGGCCCTGGGCACTGCCAGGTTCCCCTTCCTCCAGCCCCTCCTGCTTCTGCGGCAGCTCAGCCCAGCGCTCAGAGCAGAGGACAGGCAGGCAGAATGTGTGCTGGGGCGCAGTGGCCCAGAGACTATCTGGCTGACATGGGGTCTTATGTTCCACCTTTTATCCTCTCTACACGGCCCTCAAGCCACCCAGTACGGGCGCAGCAGGTGCCTCCAGCTGCTCTGGACTCACCGGAGCGGGATCTTGACGCGGAGGTAGCGGTCCACGGCAATTGCCAGCAGGGCCAGGATGGAGCTCTGGGTGAGGATGAGGACAGGGCAGGCGACCATGAGGCAGGTGTGGAAGTAGGTCCGTGGCCCGATGTTGATGAGGATGGCGAGGGGGATGACCAGAGCACCCACTGCCACATCAGCCACCGCCAGGGACACGATGAAGCAGAAGGTGGCATCCCGCAGCGCCTGGTTCACCTTCACCGCCCAGATCACCAGCACGTTGCCAGGCACCGAGACCAGGGCGATGAGCACCTCGATGCCGATGTAGGCGGCCTGGAAGGCCGAGACGGAGGGCGGCATGGCGGGCACAGGCCGGGCACATCAGCAGACGGGCACCAAGGGGCGTGAGGCAGGCACCTGTGGTCACGGAAGCCTAGAGTGGGGAGGCCTGCCTGTGGGGAGGGGAGCCAGCAGCTCTGCAGCCCCCGCCGCCCTGTGGGGATGTGCCCCACTTGGCACACGTGGTGCCCGCCCAGGCTGGCGGAGTACCTGGCCCTTTCTCTCCAATCTTTGTCCCTCCCCTTATAGCCCCAGAGGTTCCATTCAGCAACTTAAAATAGCAGCGCTCACTCCTCCACCGGCTTTCTTATCAGGTGAGAGGCAGCTCCCAGCACACACACCCGCACGGGTCCCCCATACCCGGCTCTGCCCACCTATGCCCACAGAGCAGGACGCAAGGAGCTCACCATCCTGCGTGCTGGCCGCCAGGGGACCCCAGAGGCAGCGCCTAAAGTTGCGGGCACCTGGGGCCGCCCGGAGCGCCGCGGCCACGCCGGGCAGGGCTGGGCTCCGGCAGCGCGCGCTGCTCCTGGTTCTCCAGGCTCCCGCGGCAGCCTCCCGGCCCGGCCTTTCCAGCAATCACATGGTGCGGCGGAGGCTCAGCCCCGGACGCTTTTAAAGAGGTAGCGCCCGTTCCGCACCTGGGACTGGGCGGGCAGACGCGGGCCTAGGGGGCTGAGCCGAGCACCAGGCCAGGGCGCGGCCCCTGCCCCGGAGAGCGCCCCCCGCCCCGCCCCGCCGGAGACCCTGCGGCGCCTGCCTCCCAGCCCTGCCCGGTCCGCTCGGCTCAACAGGGACCCTCGCGCGCCCCGACCCCAAGGGCATTCTCGCGGCCTCTGTCAACCCTCTCCCGATACCCGCCGGGAGCCCCGGGGCACTGAGGCACAGACCTACCCAAGGTCACCCAAACTGGCAGAGCTCCCAGCGCCCGCACGGTGCTGTCCAAGCGCCCGCCCAGCTCGACGCCTCCAGCAACCGCTGGCTCCGGGATGCCCGGCGAGCCCGGGGCCAGCCTGTCAGGTCCGGGGGGATGTGGCGGGCGGGGACTGACTCGGCATCAGCGCCTCCTTCGCCCCCCGGCGCTGGAGCTGGTGACAATCGACTCCGCGCACCCGAGGGGCGGGGGCGGCGGCGGCACCGGGCCCCTCCCTCCTCGCCCTCCGTCTCCTCCCCACCCCTCCTCCAAACAAAGGAAGTGATTCTGGTTGAGAAAGGCTGGGAACCTGTGAGCCTTTTCTAGGGTCTGGTGTCGGAATCCGGCCTCTCTGTGCTCACTCCCTCCTTCTCTGTGCGGGGTGCCCCGGAGTCCCAGCCCCGCCTCGGGAGACCCCTCCACCTGCCTCAGCCTCTCGCCTGCCTGCGGGGCTCCAGGATGGCCCTTCTCTGCTTCCTCCTGGCACAGTCCCCACCCTCAGTCCTCAGACCCTGCTCTCCCATGAAACCAGCTCCTGCACGTTCTCAGGAGCTATACTTTGCAGCTCCATCCTGAGTCATTATGCTTATTTCTCCTCTATCTTCCAGAACTGCCTTTTAGTCTATTAGCAATTTCCATCTTGCAGATGAGGGCCAGAGGCTGGCAGATGGGACCTACTTCCCAAAATGGTCCCCACCAATGTCCCCCTCTCTCCTCCTTCTCTGTACTCCTCCCTCTTCATAGCACAGGAGCTAAGCCACAAGGTCTGCAGCCCAGTCCCCTCAGTGTAGACGAACAGCAGACTGGAAGGGGGCTTCCACAAGGGGGCACAGCAAATCCTGACGGCCGGAGTAAGAAACCAGGCTCCTGACTCCCATCACAGTGCTCCCCTCCCTGTGCCCCATCCCAGTCCCTCTCTGGGCTGCCTCATGCTGCAGCTCAGATTAGGTGGCCTGCTGGTGTCGACTAAGAACCACCCAGGGGCAGACCCCTGCTCAGAACAGATGCGTTGCAGAGATCCCGATCTAAGAAACCCTTGCTCGTGGATATTGGGAAAGGGCCCCAGGAGAGCAAAGAGAGTCTGGCTGAGGACCCCAGTGCCACCTGGCCTGGCCCCAGCCCCTGAGGCTCTGCCCGCCTGTTGGACCTCGGGATGCCAGACAGGAGTTCTTCCCAAGGAGGGTGAGAACACAGCTTCTGCTGGGGGTCCGCACCGAATCTCCGTGGGGATCAGGGTCAGTGGGGCTGGAACCTGAGGAGCTGGAGGAGCGGGAGAGGGGGCTGAATCTTCCTGGGGAGGAGGAAACCCAGTGGGAAAGGTAACTTCCATTTCTGCCTTCAGGGGAGCAAGGAATCTGTGCCACAGACGGCAAATCGCAGCGCTGCCCTAGACCCTGGGGAGAAACTGGGACGTGTCGCCCTCCACTTCCCCTGCAGACGTCCTCAGCACTCCGGAGCCTCCTCCCCAGGCCCAGCAACAGGCAAGCCTTCTTGTCCATCCTGGGCTCTCAGCCCTTCCTTGGCTCAAGTCCTTGTGGGATCAAGGCTTTCTCTTGGTTTTCACTCAGCTTCCTAATTTTTGTTCATCTAGGTGTCAAAAAAACCTACAAAGACCCAGCAGGCCCAGATTGGGGCAGGGCGTAGGTGAGCAGGTCACCCTGTCTAAGCTTCAGCAGTGTCTTCAGCTCTGGAGGGCACCTGAGCGGGCCCCCGCCCCCCCCATACACTCCTCACCCCCAGTTCTTCCGTGTGGGTTGTTGACTTGTAGTGGATACATTTGCATAATCCCCGTAGGGAATTTGTTTGTTCCTCAGTTCTGGGCAGAATAAATCAAAGCTGTTGTCCCTTCTCTCCTCCTCCCCTCGCCCCCTCCGCTCTCTGTCCCTCCACCCTGCTGGTCCCAGGGCCAAGCCTCCAGGGACTACATTGACCTTTGAGAGCAGAGCTGGCCCAGGCAGGGTCCGTCCAGAGAGCCGCTCTGGGAAAAGCACCTGTCTCCGCAGAGTCTCTGAGCAGAGGGGAGGGGGGTCAGAGGTGAACACAGTGCTCCTGGGCAGCAGGACCACTTCGTGCAGGAAAAAGAGCGCTTGACTGACAGTCAGAAGAGCTGGAAGCTGGCTTCGGGCCCTCACTCACTGGCTGTGTGGCCCTGGGCAAGGCACTTTTCATCTCCTGGCCTCAGTTGCCTTAGACAGCTGACGTCTCCTGTCCTGTCCTGCTCTGACAGCACCCAGTCCATTCTGAGGCAGGAAAGATGGTCGAGACAGAGGCTGTGGGGGTGGCCTCTCCCCCTAGAAGAGTTCTAGGTCCTGGCTGCCCATATGCGGCAGATTCCAGGGCCAAGAGCAGGGTCAGTGCAGGGGGAGGTTAGAGGAGGGTCAGAGGTCTGTAATGGGGGGAGGATGGTATGGGAAGGAGTGGACAGAACAGGTGGGACCAAGGTATCTGGAATTACACTGAGCCAAAAACTCTCTGGCTTCCATCACATGTCCAGGACCTCCAGACACGCTGACCCTCCCCACACCAGGGTCCATCCATGCCCCGCAGACACAGGGCCCTCGACGTGAAGAGGTGAGCCTTGGTCTGCTCACGAAGGCCTTCGCAGGGTGGCAGAGCTTCCTGAGCTGACTTAGGAGTGTCTAGCCAGACGTTTTATCAGCAGGACAAGCAGCAGCACCAGGCGGGGCCAGTAGAAGGACGAGGAGTGCTCTGTGTAGCCAGTCACGCTGAAGTTGGCACCAAAAGACACAGGGACCAGGCGTGGATGCCTTCAAGGTCACCCAGGGAGAAGCTTCTGTTTGGCATGTGGCTCTGGGAGCAAGATTAGGTCTAAAGACCCCCAGGCCTGCCCCTGCCCCCATCCTTCCCCCTGAAGCCCCTGTCTAGATTTCTCAGGGCCCCTCACTCTTGCCCTCTCTCCACTGTGGGGAGGGGGTGTGTGGAGAAGTGGGGGCTGGTAGAGGCACTCCTGCAGGGCAGCCCTGCCCCTCCTCCTTCCTGGAATTCTCCCAACTGAATGAGACACGTGGAGTCGGGAAGAGGCCTGCCCCAGGAGAGCAGCCATCCCTGCAGACCCTCAGGACACCAGCAGGGAGGGGGCCGCCAAGGTTCAGCTCAGGCCCCAGGGCGGTCTGGGGCTGGATGAAGCTTTAGGATCGCTCTTTCCCCTGCCAGCAGGCAGGAGGTGATTTTGGTCCCTGCGTTGTTTCTCACCACTCTCTGGGCAGTATGTGGAGGGAGAGGAGAAGGCGGAGGGGGAGGGGGAAGTGGGAGAGGGGACAGAGGGGGAGGGGAGGAGGAGGAGGCGAGCAGAGCAAGGGCGGGCTGGTTGGAAGGAGAAGATTTCTGGACGGCAGGGAGGCCCCGGCCTTGCCCTCGTCCCCCAGGCCCCGTCTGCCCCTTTGAGGTTCCCTCTTCAGATCTGGAATCCAGGTCTCTCTCCCCTCCCCATCCCCTCTCCCAGGTCAGCAGCTGGGTCTGTGGGAAGGAGCTAGTCGAGGTCCCTCCGGATAGCACAGAACTGGTCCTAAATCCTGAAGCGAGGATGTCCCTTCCATTTCCTTCTTAACTTCATCGTTCCTTCCTTCATTTAGTCTATTCAAAAGACGTTTCCTGAACCCCTTTTTCACGTTAGACAATGAGCTGAGCACAGAAGACAGAGAAATGAAAAAGCCATCATTTCCCGCACCGTCTCTGGAAAGACCCCCCAGTCAGGGTGGGGAGCACAAGGCACAAACGACCCCAACATGCAGCCACCTGGGCGGCTCAGAGGTCTTTCCCACCCTACTGATGGGTACTTCCTCCTGTTCACAGATAAGAGCTGATGCCAGCGCCACGGGGGGTCTGTTCTGGCGGTTTGGATGCTGTTCGCTGAAGACCCCTCAGGGCTCAGCCGAGAAGCCTCAGGACCTCAGGGGCTGGGAAGGAGGGTCAGGTCTTGACTCTCAGTCAGGACTCAGAAAACCACCCTGCTTTAGCCAGAGCCACTCTGCTTCAGCTCACTTCACTCCGGGGTTCCTGCTATGAGATTTTATTTGAACATAAGATTTTATTAGCTCTGTGGCTTTAAAAGTCTTGAAAGTCTGAGCTTCAACCCAACTTGTACAGATAAGGAAACTGAGACCCAGAGAGGCAATCAACTTGTTACCCCCGTGAGTTGGGGGCAGAGCCTGGTGCCAGGGGAGATGTCCGGGGTGAGCCCTGCCCTGCATCCGCCCGTCCCGGCCCTGGGGAGTCCCCTGAGCACCAGCCTTTGAGCTCAGGCCTCGGGGAAGTCGGGTGTCCTGGCTTCCACACCCTCCCCACCTTGCGGGGGGCAGGGGAGGCAGTCTGCTAACCCCCCAGAGAAATCGGCATGGGGGGACACGCTCTCCTACAGTAATAAAGGCCCCTTTTACAGGTGCGCAGTGGTTCAGTCTTTAGAGACATACGTCATGTCCCACACGGAATGCTCACACACACCCCGGAGGGAGCACAGCAGTGTCACTCGTCCTTAATCGTGGGCGAGGACACCAGGCTGGGAGACGTTGGAGGGAAGCCACTGGCAGACTGCCCAGGGTGTGCGGTGTTTGCCTAGGCATGTGAGGCTCATGGGGTGATTGGCATCGCTGGTCAGTTGCTCTGGAAGGGCTTCCTGGAGGAGGCTCCAGCCCCACCCACTCATTCCGTGTTAACTGGCGGCTGTGAATGGCAGCCTAAGAAGGTGTTCTGTTCTGAGGGCTCTCAGGGGCTCCCAGCTTGGGGCTGGAGGGCAGGGCTGGTGTGGAACCTGCTCAGAACCAGCTGGAGCTCCGTTGGGCGGGTGGGCAGCGTGTTCCAGCTGCCACAGACAAGGTCGCGGGGGCGCTGGGTGGGGAAGGCCTTGGAGCAGGGATGAGATGTCCTGGTTTGTGGAGAAGGGCTGCTGGCCTAGGCAGACAGAAAGGACAAACAGCCTGA